CCCCCCAAAAAAAAAAAGTGGATTGTTTTACCAACATACAATAAATATATCTCCCAGGTATTTGGGATGGACAACTTGAATCAACACCTTGCAATTGTAGATTGTTAATTTCAGTATTTGCAAGGATGGTGATTTTTGTTTTGTTTAAAAATCCGCAGTTATTGTAAGATTCTTCTTTATTTCTTTTTTATTTTTAAAAAGGCCTGAGTAAAAAGTTCCACTCTGGGACTTGTATCAGATTCTCTCTGAAGCAGAATTCAACCTCTTCATTAATAAAATTCTTCAAGGCAATTCTTTCACATGGGGGGAACAATCATGCCAGATATAGCTGTTGGAAGGAAAGGGGAGGGGAGGGGGAGAGAGAGAAGGGGGGCTGTTACTTTTGTGCATTATCAAGCAACTTTTAAAATCCTCACAGCTTTCAGACATTTACTAGCAACGCACTCAGCCATACTGTGAATTAAATTTAAATATGAGTATCATCCAGTAGAGACAACTATGTACACAGGAATCACAGGAAGCCTCATTCTGATCGGAAAGTGGCTTAAATTGCAAGTGACACTGCTGAAATTAGTGATTTTTCTTGCAGAAAAAGTGCACTTCCCCTGATAGCAGAATCAGACCCCAACTTAATTTTCTGATTTTAGTTTCAAAATCCCCAAATGCTCAGGAGGCTCAAACCTGACCCAGCCATTGCCACACGTCCTATTACTCTTTTAAAAGCAAAGCAGATACTTGCTCCACGTACGAGAAGGCGGCTGGAGTCCCAGAGGCCATCAGTATTACAGACCTGGGAGGGTGTTAGTTGCATTAGGCACACTAACAGTGGTTCATTCTTCTATGCCAGTTTTCCCTTACAAGTTCAGCGTTCAGCCCTGGGACTTATGTATGCATTTCCAGGTGCTCAGGAAAGGACTTAAACTCTCAAATCCAATTTTCAAATTGAAATATGTCCTTAACTGGTGGCTTAGCAGACCGGCGTCTCATGGTTTTATTACACTTGTAGCAGACATCACCAACTACATTGAGTGAGGCGTATGTTTAATGTTAATTTAGAGTGTCTTCTCCCTTGTTGGCTAAGTTGAATGATCAGTATTTCTTTATTATGCTTCCTAACATCATTTTCTATGAAACCACCATCTCTCTTAAAGAGGAGACACTCATTGAAAGTCAACAGGTACAGTCTTCCACCTCGCTTGACCTCCAGCTTGGTCTCCCTCTATTTACCAAGGACTCTATGCAGATCAGACACACCAAGCGTCCAAGTGATATACTGTGAGCAAGTACATGAGTTACAGGAGGTAACCATGCAAGCTTATGATGAAAACTGTAACCACAATGCATCTTTAAAATAGTAGTTATATGGTTATTTGCCAAAAGGTAGAAAACAGATTCGCCTTCAGGTTGGCGGCACTTCATGGGCACATTATTTAAATGCTAGAACTGCCTGCCATCTCAGACATCTGGACATGTAATTTTTTAAGGAAGAACTCAACCCTGTGACTGGTGCTGATTCATTGTGCTTTAATTACAGCTGCAATTATTTGATAAGAACAGAGCCAAAGTAAAAGACTCACAGATTTGGGGTTGGAGGGGGAGAGGAGGGAAATGTTTTCTCCACAAACACCACCATATGTGCAAGAATTACAAGTCTAATCAGCAAGGGGAGAACAGCTCGAGCAAACTGCACTGATTAAATGAAATAAAATGAGAGGAGAAGGCAAGAATGCAAAACACATCCACATGTTTGCAACAGGCCATCCTCAGAGGTGACGTTGCAACTATACAGCAGCACTTCGATTCTTGGAATTTATCATTCAGCAATGTTTTTATGTGGAATCACTGTACTGATTGTTTCTGCTCCACATAAGGGCTCTTCAAGGAGCTGAGAATGAGGATAAAAGCGATAGAGAGGTGACTTGACTTGAGTTGCTCTAAGCCCTACAAGAAGACACTCAAGTAAGTAGCATGGAGGACACCACCGTGTCTTAGATGTTCCTTGCTGAGGTATTTCCTGCCATGGGCTTTTTTTGCCTCTACTGTGGAGATAATCTGAGGATGCATTTTCATATTATCTCCAAAGCTATGCTGTCTCATAGGATGAATTCAATATTGCCTTTTTTTTTAGAATCCTTGCCAATTTAATCAACACTGGGTGAAACAACAGCAGCTTTGTTTAAAAAAAAAATTCTCAAAGGGTTTTGTTTCAGCAGTGTCTCAAATAACAAGTTCTGAATCCTCACAATTGGGCTGTCCCTTTGGTTCATGTGACTAAAAATGAAGGAAACCCAGGCCAAGCAATGCGCTCACTGTTGTGGTTGCTCCCTGCTCGGCTCTTGCGATCCTTAGAGTGTGGGCCAGGGTACGGACCTCTATGGCATCAATAAAATAGGTATTGACAGCAATGGATACAGTCAACCAGACTGCAATTCTGCTGTGGCAGCCCTGCAAGGCAGCCACCTACAGCTAAGGGTGCGAGTGTAATTTTCCCTATCTGAATATATGAAAAACTCACGAGGGCATGGACCTGAGACACAGATTTTGTCCCAGTTCTCCTTCTACTCATTGTATTACATCAAGCAATTTGATTTGTTTCTGTTTCTTACCCGAGGATAACAACTTTTATCCCTATTAGTAAAGCACTTGGAGATTTCTGGATGGCAGTTGTTTAGCAGAATATAGGGGTGGGACTGCAGTGCCTGGACGTCAGCACCGTATGTTACAGAGCAGAGAAAAGCAATACTGACAACAGTGCTCCCTCCTTTACTGCTCAGATAAGCAAGGAGTTGAGCAGATGGGAATGGGTAGAGTCTTCCTATATGTGATGAGTGCAACTGAGCAGAGTCAGATGGATAATTAATCCTCTGTGCATTCTACTTTAACCTTTTTTGTCCTTTTCAGCCCTTTCTAAATTCTAGATTTAGTGAAACTTTAAAACAAGATGTTGTTTTGCTTTAGAAAAAACACCTACACTCCAGAAAATGTCAAAATATTATTCCAACAAAAAATTCTGAAGCTAAAAGATTCATCAAAACCAAATCAATTTCAACAAGAAATGGTCAAGAATTGTCTCTCTCTTGGGACAGCACGGCCGCCTACCCTGGGTAAGAGCCCAAGCAAAGGTGACATAATTGCAACTCCTCCCTTCATGGCTCGGACATTTCCCTGCAGTTACGTATCAGCCATGCACCTTTTGCCATGGGAAACAAACGGTACAGATGCAGATCTTTGCTCATTTTTTCAAAGCATTATTGTTTTTGAAGAGCTCTGAAATTCTGAATTAAATTACAAGGCAAATGGCAAAATGATATCTTTTCTGCCTAAACTCTTTGATATTTCCATTCTTTCCAAGTCTTCATTTACATCACTCTACTTTTATTCTGTAAGTAAGTGCTACATCTAGTCATGCAAATTCTCTCAGCTGTAGCACGTTATTGATCCTAAAAACAGAGATATCAGTGGGAAACAGTGTAGGTATGAGATCACACCAGCTCCAAAAAGGGCGGGCAGAGAGCAGAAAAACTCCCACCAACAGGCATTATTTCTTCTATCATATACTAATTTGTATTCACTGCTAGCAAATTACAGAAATAATGTGTTTTGAGTTTTACAAAATTGCATGGCAAAGAGAACAACAGATAAGCCTAGCTTTGTTTTAGTGAGTTCTGCTGATATCTAAGCTACATAAGGAAAGCTTGATTGCTTTCTGATGTATCCAGAAGCCCAAGAGAGATAAGACAGCCTCCTTATACATGGTTGTTTATTTAAGCAATAAGGCACAACAGGCAGTGCATTTCTGAGTGATTATTACAAGCCTCAGGTGGTGTCAGAAGGCATGGGACTAAAGGCTGTGTGTCTCTAACTCACCAAGAAGTTCAGCGATGACCTAGAAATGAACCATCTCTTGGTGTCTCATTCCTATTATGAAAACTGAATTGCTAAATAAAAATTAGGGGAAACACTCAGATCTGTGTGGTTTCTGGGCATTACAGATCTGGATGTGACATAATGAGGAGGCAATCAGCAAGCCCCAGTTGCGGCCGGTGCTCTCAGCTCATTCCATAATTGCTTTTCATAACTGAATACATGGAATCTGGGAATTCCGTGTCTTGTGAAAGGAAAACCAGTGCCTGAAAAAAGCTTTCTCCTTGCTTGCTTGCTTTTTCTCTCCACCCACAACAGCAGGTTGAGACAAGGTGAAGAGAATTTAAAAACATTAACATGTTCAAAAGCTTCTAGCAGTCAACTCTTAGCTCCTTTTGTATTTTTTAATACGGAGGTGAAACATTTTTAGCTGTTGCCTTTAAAATTTGTAGCATGTCGGCAGTGCCAAATTCTTAAAGCATGCAAAAATTAATCTCCTAAAAACTACAGCTCATCTGAAAATGTTGTTGTCTTTTATTCCTGACGCACTCAGTATTTATAACAAAGTCCTGACCAAAGGTACCCAAGTTCTGCTTATACATTCCTAGTATTTTCACAATTTCTGTGTGCATGTGTGTACATCTGCAAGGATTCCTCCTCCCAGCTCACCAGTGTAAAATGTACTGAGGACAATGCTTTCCTTCAGTCACAATAGATCCCAGCTTTTATGAATGAATTCCTTCCACTCTGCCTGCATATAGGGTTTTTTTTGGCTGTTAATGGTGCTATCAGCATTATGCCCGCAAGCCCGGCGTTTCTCTTTCCAGAGGCCGTAGAGTGACAGGTGGAGTCTGTGGATCTATCCTCCCCCTGCTCTGCACAGCTCCTTCTGAACACAGCTTTGAAAATTAAGGAATTTTATTCCCTGCTCAATGCTTTTTGGATAATTTGCACAGGCACGTGGAAAGGAAAACAGACCTCAGGTCTGGGGGAAGCACGACGCATACCGCAAAATCTTTCCCACCTCTGGCAGAGTTGGAGGCAGCTGGCTGCGTCTGCTTATGGAAACTCCTTGGTCTAAGCGAGCATGAAAATGTCTCTCTCAGCACACTAATGCGTAGTGAGGTAATTACACAGGAAGGTTTCCACACCGTGTTGTAAAACAGGCTGCGCCAAACAATGAAATGGGCAGTGCTGGTCTTTGCAGCATCCTCAGTTTGACAAGCTTTTGCCTGTCACTCCCTCGGCTTGCATCAAGGCTTCAAAATGTATTTAGGTGCTAATGCTGGAATACTTTGCAATGAGAGGGGAAGGGACGTGGAAAAGGAGCAGCCCCTTGATACCAACAGCTGAAGAGGCTTTCAAAAAGGCCCTGCGACATCTATGGAATTAATTGGCACAGAAGTACATTAATCAGTGGAAACTAATGTTTGCCCTGGTGTGAGTTAAACTGGAAAATGCTGCTGTTAGTTTGTAATGTGGCTTCTATTTATGAAAGGCAAAGGTTTGTGCCAAGCTCTGTAACAGTCTATTTGCTCTCAGTAGGATTTCTGCACAAGTGTACTATGACAAAGGAAAAAAAGGAAGGGAAGATTGAGTGACGTACTTCAGGAGAAGGCCAGCCCCTGGAGAGACCCTGCAGTGGAGTACTTGCTAGAGTCCACAAAAGACTGGTCTGATAAAGGACGACAACAGGGAATAAGAGAGGAAAGAAAGAAAAAGGATGGTATTAGTAAGCTGAAATATTACTCATTTTTATCATAACAGTAGGTCTGTGCTTTAAAAGACACAGCCTCTCAATTCAGCAGTATTAGTCGAGTTAGAGACAGGGTGGTTGCCAAACACCTGCATGGTACTAGGTGGGCTGGTGGTGGAGTCCAGTTACTCTTTACAGGAGGAAACTTTAGGACAGAGACCACCAGGGATCCCCCATCGTCTTCTATCCCCTTTGACAACTCAGTGTCGCTTAGAGCCTCGCAAGGCGCCAGGAACTCACGGTTTTGAGAGCAGCCATCTATGCTCCAGACTTGGTTTCACCTACCTTGCAGGCTATTGCCATTGGTGCTGGTGCAGGTGGGAGGAGGAGAAGTTTGCGGTCTCACAACAGGCGCAAAAGCACTCTTCTGTTTCACCGCTGAGACCATGTTGGCTGGTGAGAAGGAGAAAATCCCAGAGGAACTGCTACAGTTTGAGGGGAGGCTAGTGGAGGAGGCCATTGTCGGACTTGATGGCACAACTAGAGGAAAAAAAGACCCCCCCAAAAGGCATTCCTTAGTATTAGATAATCAGCAGGCTGCAGAAACAAGAGAATTCTGCTTCTTGTATGCACTGGCTCTAATTTCAAATATCCAAGGCCTTTACTGCAGTTAGATTTCTGGTTGTTCACAAAGTGTGATCAGGAAACCCACTTGTTTTGTTTTGCAGGTGTTCAGGAGCAGTAATCCTAGGAGCTCTTAAACCCTCCCTTAATTCTCTGTCACTGCAACTCTTTATTCTTACAACAACCCTGTCCTGCCATCCTGTTTCAAACTTTTCTAGTGATTGGTATTAGCCACTGCCCTGGTCTGAATTTGTAATGTTTTTGTTTAGGGGGATAAGAGGGAATCCCGACAGTGTAGGCAACTCAAGGGTTACAAAACTGATGGGCAAGGAGAGTGGTTAAAGTACAAATCTGGATCTGGAATATTTAACTTGGAAAGGTTTGAGTTTTTAACTGGCCTCCAAACCCAGCATTTTAAGCCATGCTTTCCTTGTAGCAAGATGGCTCCAGAAAGACCTATAGGGTCTTAAGCAAACTTGCAGAAGGTAGAAAGGTCTTAGTGGTGACCCAGTCAACCTGCTTGTCAAAAGCCAGCAAAAATGTTTACATTTCTTTCCTCTCTCAAACGCTGCAAGAACTAGGGTTTAAAAGGAATTATTCCAAAAGCTGTGAATATTATATACACACACATATATCTATATATATGGAGGCTGTCCAGCATGAAGCAACCAGTGAGATGGCTGCCCCGACAGTTTTTTACTCCTTTGGTCTCCTGGCACAAGTGTTTTCAGTGTCTGTTGCACAAAAAAATGTGTGGATAACTGACAGAAATCATGCTTTTCTTTTATCTTCCAATGGGAAAAATGACTATTCTCACAATGGCCACAGATGCTTTCCGTGTTATAACTACTAGTACCAAGTACAGCTTCCCTCTATCCATCAGCTTTGGGAAAGTTTCTGCTGTGGGGACTTCCCAGAAATTCTCAGTGACGTGAAAAACAGCCATATTTCTCACGTGAGCATTTTACTTATGCACAGGAATGGAGCTGGCATTTGATATCTCACCCAAGATGGAGAATTTTGAAAATGAAAGTGGTCAAGACAAATAATTCTCCCAGAGGATCTATGGCCATTGTCTGAATACAACATTCTCATTCAGAGCCATCGCCTGGAATCTCAGCTGGAATAGCTAAGCAATGAAGCCATTCTGGCTTACATCAAATGAAGATCTGGCTTTAACTACAAGACTGAATAAAATGAGAGTCTTCATTTTTTCTGAATAAGTGTAGACATAAGGCTCCCTTTCTTAGGGACTGAACCGATTGTCCAAAATGCAAATCTGCTGCATAGGAGGTTCAGGTTTTAAATACATATATCCTTAAACCGTTATTTTACTATATAGTAGGATAAATCTCTTTGGTTCATGTATTTATCATTGAGGTTTTAAGTTAACTTGTTTTCATGAAAATAAAGCCAACTACTTTTATATTCAGACAGCCTTGCAAGTTTCCCCTCTTATCCAACAAAAAAAAGGAAAGGACCGATAGTAAGATCCCATACTTTCATTCTTCGTCCTGTTTAGAAACCGCTTATATACATGAGGGGGCTATGAATAATTACATATTATAGAGTAAAATTCCTATCATCTGGGCTTTGAATTATTATTTTATTTGCATTTATGTAGATAAAAATCACCCTATTTAAGTTCTTACTTGAGAATCTGATATCATATTTGTTAACACTGAGGAAATCAATTAATGGAAATTAAATGTTCAAAGTTTCACAGTCTGACAGATACAATCTTAGTCTGAAGTCACTCTATGTCTGGAAGTACTTGCTAAGGGAGAGCAATCAAAGCACCTAAATTGAATTGCTACTATACAGCAATTAGTTTATTGATTTAATTAAGAATGCCACCTTTTAATTTTCAGGTCATGATTGAAGCATTTTCTGATTCAATGGATTAGGCATTAGCAGAATGACAGATCTACCAAGAAAACCTCCCAAAATATAACCAGAATAGAGAACCAGGGCTGGGAAGTGAAGTGCTATTCTAAAGAGGACTTTGTTCATAAATATGAAATAATACACTGCTAGAGTATTTAAAATGCATTACTGGCATCTGCTTCCAAAAAGAGATGTCTCATCAATCATGTTATATTATGAATTCAGAGCGCACAGATTCTATGACAGTAAATTCAACTTAATAAGTAAGGTACTTTGTAACATTACTTGTTACACTATTATTAGAGTACAAAAATAATAACTGGTTAGCAATTCCCAGGTTATAAGTACTAGTTACGTGGGTAAATATTTTCTTCTAAATTTGCAGCAGCGAAGAAGCCTTGGAGGTAATTTTTTAAATCCCCTTTTTAATTCTGAACTCTAGCAATGCAATTCAAAACAATTCATAACTGCTGTTACACCACTAAACTTAAGATTTGCTGTGTAAACCTTGGTACGTTCAGCAGTCTGTTTGTCTTGTCCATGCTAGGGTCTCAGCCTATAAACCTATTTATATGACAAGCCCTTCTGGCCTGATTCTGCTAGCAGCTTGCTACAGATGTCAGCAGAATCCTGTATGCCACTTGAGCAATGTCAAAGGAATCGGGCAGGTCCTAGTCATTTAATTTTCTCATGTGAATAGGGACTACTGAGCTGCGTGAGCTGCTGCAGACGAGGTTCATAGGCCTTTACCAATAGAAATGTATTTATATTTAAACAGGTTACTAAACCTTTAATATCAAAATGCAGAAAGTTAGTCCTACGCATAAGTATTTCCATAACTGGGACTGTAGACCATAAGCTCTTTACACCATGGAATATATAATTTGTATGACTTACATCTTTGTGGCATTCACTGTACAGACACTAAAACACAAACTCTAAGAGCCATTGTCACATTTTACTGACTAATACTAAGCTCTCAGTGAAGTCAATATAATACCTACTTACAAAGCAAATGGAGTATAAGCAATCAAGATTAGGCCCAACAGTAATTCATAATTTCTATAAAGGTTATGAACATATTATTTGCACAGAGGTCTCGGAAACATCATCATGCAGCTTATGGAAATGTCAGTCTTATTACAGCAAACTTTTCTGCCCTTCATATCTTACAGCTGGAAAAAACTACTTTTCCTGCAGAAAATATCCTTAGCTTCCTTTCATACCCACTGCAACAAAAAGTTGTGTACTGACAACTGACTTTTGATCCCCTCCAATGGACATTAAGTCACTTTTGCCATCCCTGCTTTCTAGCAATGTTGAGGACAGCCTTTCTTATTTACAGAGTACAAGGTAAGTTATGAAACTATCAGCCCAAATCATGAGAGACATTATTCTTTTTAAGCTCTTATGAGACTCCCAAACAACAACAACAACAACAACAACAACAACAATAATAATAATAACAACAACAACAACAACAACAATAATAAACCAGAGCAGAGCATTGCTGGCAACACTAATGTCTTCAAAGTGCTTCAAAGGTCAGTGCCTTGGAGAGGAGAGAAAGGACCGAGCTCTGTTTCAAGTGCTCAACATAGAAACTAAATATTGAGTATCACAGAAAAGTCACCATCTCCTTCTAATGATAATGTGCAAAATACAGAAAAGCCATATAATACTCACTGGCATAGGGAGAATTGGCAGCAGATCCATTCAGGAAGGTCGGAGATCCGCCTAAATTTGACATTCCAGCATTCCCATAGCCATTCATGCTTGTTGTGACAGAGTTATAATTTGTCTGCTGAGGGGTGGTGCTTGGCACATAGCCATGAGGTGACACGCTGCTTGAGTTGCGAGTAAAACCTTTTGTGGGGAGGGAATACATTTAGAAATTGGTATTAGCCCGAGAACAGTTTCTTTTGAGGACAGCCTTTCTTATTTACAGAGTACAAGGTAAGTTATGAAACTATCAGCCCAAATCATGAGAGACATTATTCTTTTTAAGCTCTTATGAGACTCCCAAACAACAACAACAACAACAACAACAACAACAATAATAATAATAACAACAACAACAACAACAACAACAACAATAATAAACCAGAGCAGAGCATTGCTGGCAACACTAATGTCTTCAAAGTGCTTCAAAGGTCAGTGCCTTGGAGAGGAGAGAAAGGACCGAGCTCTGTTTCAAGTGCTCAACATAGAAACTAAATATTGAGTATCACAGAAAAGTCACCATCTCCTTCTAATGATAATGTGCAAAATACAGAAAAGCCATATAATACTCACTGGCATAGGGAGAATTGGCAGCAGATCCATTCAGGAAGGTCGGAGATCCGCCTAAATTTGACATTCCAGCATTCCCATAGCCATTCATGCTTGTTGTGACAGAGTTATAATTTGTCTGCTGAGGGGTGGTGCTTGGCACATAGCCATGAGGTGACACGCTGCTTGAGTTGCGAGTAAAACCTTTTGTGGGGAGGGAATACATTTAGAAATTGGTATTAGCCCGAGAACAGTTTCTTACACAAACAGCTACAAGCAAGTAACTCTGGGCTACCAAGCCAGCAGCCTAGTCCAGCCATGGTGTGCGTGGGGAGGGCCAGGACTGACCACCACTAGCCCCAGGTAACCTAAATTGTGAACCCTCACTGCCCAGGTCATTGCTGATGGGAGCACAAAGCGGGAGGAGGGAGGCTACAGCCTTCCCAGCTCCTCGGGCAACCCATGCCCTCAAGCAAAGATTAGCATTGGGTGTTCCAGGAACACTCGCTAGAGCTGTTTGTAGGAAATGGAGTAAACACAACCTACATTTTCAAAGTCAGGAGTACATACCGACTTAAGGTATGTTAAAAGCATGTGATTTTTGCTAACTCTCTTCTCATGTCGCTCTCATTTAATGCATCTCAAATTAGATGCTCACTACACACTTTAGAAAATGTAGGGTATAATTCTCAAAGTAGTGGGATATCTTAGTCTTTTTGCCCTGGTCTGATCATTATCAAATTTGGCACCAAGTTAAAATTTGAATCTCTACCTAATTCTGGAAATGAAAAAAATGAAAAAACATTTGTTTCTAGAAGCACAGAAATACAAAATGCATCTTCGCTCCTGGAAGAAAAAGTGCCAACTTTTCTCCCTACCACACAGTACATCCATAGAATATTTTAATCTAAAAAGAATTTCTATTTTTTTAGTGTAATGCAAAATAATTTTGGCTGCCCTTCTGGAAAACAGCCTCATTCTAATACCTTCTCATTAAAGTGGATTTTTAAGTTGGATAATAGAAATAGAGCTGAGCAAAGGAGAGGGCAAAATGCAAGGGTTTTTTAAAAAAAATGTTCTTCACTTTTTTTTTTTATTTTTAACAGTAGGAATTAAAATAATATTGATTTTACACAAAGTGAAAAACACTTTATTTTAAAAACTAGAGAAGCTCTGAAAATGTCTTTGTAAATATTTCTATTTTTTGCTGGTTTCAAAATCTAGAAAAGTCTCAAACTCTGCAAAAAAAATCAGTGCCAATATTGTGTCTCTTGCAAAACCAAACCCAACCAAACAGACAACTGTTCAAGGGATACTTTTGTGTTATAAAGAAATGCTACATTGGGCCCAGACTGAGAGATCATCCATGCTCAGGAAAACATATAAGCAAGTACTTAACATTAAGTACATGCTCAAGTCAATAGAAAGCCTTTTAACATTAGTGGGATTTAAAGACAAATACAAGCGTTGTTCTGAGCAGAAGGAAAAGCAATTTAGATATATGCAGAAGTGCTTTTCCCGAATTGGGGCAAAAGTCAGTAAAGCAAGCCCCATCTCATGACAGTACTGTGTCATTCAGAAGTTGTGCACGCGTGTGGGATGGTGTCTGTCTAGATGTGCTCCTAGCCTTCAGTTTTGAACCATCCTGCTCTGCACGTTTCCCTGACTTTTATCAGAAAAGGTTCATAGAGAGAGGAAGACGAGTCTTCTCCTGACCCTGATTGGTGGCTTGTGAGGCTTCGGAAACATTGACAGCTAGTTGACCACTAAAGGAATTCACTCCCATCATTCCTGCATGGACTGACGTGTTAGCAAGGGCGGGGAGCTGGTTGTGATTGCGGGGGACACTGTAGAGTGCTTCTGCAATGTCTGCTGCTCTTTTCAGGATTATTTCCTAGAGGATAAGAAGGGGAAAAAAAAGAATAAAAGAGTTACCAATGCGACTCTGACAAACCTTTTCTTACTAAAATGAGACATTTCCCTGTCCGAAGACAAAAACTAGATGCTTTTCTTTCTAAACCAGTTGGCTGACTGATAGCTAATGCTTATAAGATCTCCTGCCTTCGTGATAAATCCTGACATCTGTGGTAAGAGAGTTGGAAGTTTCAGTCCCAGCAGTCACGCTTCTGTATAACCAGACCGACTGGTAGACTGGGGCTGGAGCCTAGACTTACTCCACCTTAAAGCTATCTTTAGGATACGATTGAAAAAAACCACTGGTGGCAAGACATAATGCATTATCATTGCCCACACTACACAGTATCTGGTGAAAGCGGGCAAATGCCTCCAGGGTTAATAGCATGTTGATTTTACAAGCACTAAATTCACACCCTTTAAAAAAGAAAACAAGCAAACTAAACCCCACTCCAGATATGACATTGCCCTCTATATTTATTCTTGTCTCACATTGTAGTATCATACACCTTTAGCCCCTGGTCTATCTATACATCTAAGAAATAGCCATGTTTTAGAATTGCTGAAGTAGAATGCATTTACCTGGTTATTATGTGGCATACCATAGAGTGCTTCTACTAAATCAGCAGCCCTCTTAAGTATTACTTCCTGTCAATATAAAAACAGATGCATTCCTCTCAGTTCAATAAATTCCTTGTGGGGGAAAACAAATATTAGAATCTTTTAGACTCTTCTATTAGTTGCACCGTGTTTTGTGGTTTGTTTTTTTTTCCTCCCACCAGGTACACCTTAATTGTAACAACTCTCAGCAACCACTGAATGGTGTTAAATCACTAGTTCATCCTATTCACACACACACTTAATCAAGTCAAAAGGTGAGAATCATTGGTGCTGCAAAATAAAATACATCACTCAATTGTCTCTACCATCTGCACTATAAACCACTCATCGGTTTATTGCAGAATACAATCCTGAGGTCATTTACTAGATTACTGCAATCAATGTCATTCAGAGCATGTTATGAATCCCTTCAATGTGTTTATTTTATTCTTAATTGCATAGTGCAGGAATTGTGACCTTACCCAGCAGGCCACGTTCGAAAGATATCCAATCAGTCCTATGCTGATGGTAATGTAACCTTTCAACTTCTTTGGTTTGTGTCCTGATATGATGGGTCAGGGTAGGATCCGTGTACATAAAATGATGCACGAGAGGAAAACACACGCAGTGTGAGAGAATGGCCCAGTACGGTGCAGTGGTTCCTGGAAAAATTCCCTACATGGACAGCAGAATTTAAAACAGTCTGGGATTTAGTTCTCCATTTTGGGCAAGTTTTTTCTTCTCCATTTTCCTATTTGTTCCTTTTCACTTAATATTTCTTAGAGTATTTTAAACTGGCATTCAAGTAACAATAGCATTTTCTGTGTTCTTACTTCTTACAGTGTGGAAAAATCTCTATGAACAATCCTGATAGAAACTGTAAAAATGCATTGCAGAATTAACCCAGAAGAAATTTTTTTTCTTATTCTTTCAAAGCATCTAGCAGATTCCCAACTGCCTGATCAAAACCAGTCAAGACTGTCCTTTGAGTAAAACAATATATTTTTGAAATTCCCAGCCCCTAAGTATTGCTCTAATATACTAACACG